CACACTGTTTCAAGAAAGGCAGAATTTGAACTAACCCTCTCTAATACTTTGGAGGACACCCTCCCTCTCCACACTCCCCGCACAGCAGGGAAGAAAGGTGTAGTGATCCTGAAGCCTGACAGTTATCAGGGAAGGGAGACCAGCCTGCATTTCCTGCGTATTGCACCTGCTCCAGGCCCTGAGAGCCACTCTACTTTTCCTGGCTGTATTTCAGGGTTTCTTCTACCTTTATTCATTCGACACCTTTTTCCCCTTGTACTGTGAATCGAACCCCATTATACCCCGTGGTGCTCTGCCACTGAGCCACATCGCCAGCCCTTTTTTATGTTATTATTATTATTCTAGTTATAGGTGAATGGACACAAGGTTCATTTTATTTTCATGTGGTGCTGAGGATTGAACCCAGTGCCTCATGCATGCTAGGCGAGCACTCTACCTCTGAGCCAGCCCAATCCCACATTCCAGCCCTTTTTATTTTTTATTTTGAGACAAGCTCTCAGTAAACTGCTGAGACTGGTCTCAAACTTGCAATCTTTCTGCCTCGGCCTCCAGAATAGCTGGGATTATAAGCACGCACCACTGCCTTTGGAGTCTATTTTATACCTCCACACAGGACTGTCCCATCCTTCAGAATAGTAAGCCCCAATTCTGATGGTAAAGGAGACTGCTCCCTCTTCTCTTCTCCTCTCTCCTCTTTTTTTTTTTGGTACCAAGTGTTGAACCCAGGAGGTTAACCACTGAGATATATCTCCAGCCCTTGATATATATATATTTAATTTTGAGAAGTATTGCTTAGGGCCTTGTTAAATTGCTGAGGCTGGCTTTGAACTGGTAATCCTCCTGCCTCAGCATCCCAAGATGCTAGGATTACAGGCATGCGCCATCACACCCGGTGCTCTCCTGACAAAGGTAAGTTGAGGGGGTTCTTTGGGGATATGAAACCAGAGACTGGGAACAATTGGGGGATGCAATATCTGACACAAAAAAATTGCTGGGCACAGTGGTACACGCCTGTAATCCCCCAGCAGCTCCAGAGGTTGAGGCAGGAGGATTGCAAATTCAAAGCCAGCTTCAGCAATGGCGAGGCACTAAGCAACTCAGTGAGACCCTGTCTCTAAATAAAATACAAAACAGGGTTGGAGATATGGCTCAGTGGTTGAGTGCCCCTGAGTTCAATCCCCAATACTCCCTGCCCGCCCCCCGCCAAAAAAAAAAAAGAAAGAAAGAAAGACTGGTCACTGGTCACAGTGGTGTACACCTGTAATCCCAGCTACCTAAGGAGGCTGAGGCAGGATAAGTGCATGAAAGACACTTAATAAGACCCTGTTTGGAAATAAAAAAAATAAAAAGGACTGAGGGTGTAGTTCAGTAGTAAAGCACTTGCCTAGTATTCTTGAAGCCCTGAGTCAGCTCCTATTACTGGAAAAAAAAAAAGTGTCAAATTTAAAAATAAAGGTAGGAGAATCCCTAAAAGACAGATGCCTGCTTCTTTTTCCATTTCTTGCTTCTACTACCAAAAGCAAGCCTCCACCAGATGTGATCCTTCCCCTGACTCTCTCTTTGATGATTCATAGCTAGGGTGTTTAATGAGACAAAGGTGATAGGGGAGAAATAAGTGGCTATTTTACTCTTTTGTTGTTGTTGTATATTTGTTTTGGTGCTGGCAAGTAAACCCAGGGTGCTTTACAACTGAGCCACATCCCCAACCTTTCTTATTTATTCTTTTTTTTTTTTTTAATTTTGAGACAAGGTCTTGTTAAGGTACTTAGGGCCTCACTAAGTTGCTGAGGCTGGCTTTGAACTTTCTATCCTCCTGCCTCAGCCTCTGCAAATCACTGGGATTACAGGTATGTGCCATCATGCCCAGCTGCCCCCAAACTTAATTTCCTCCTCTATTTTCATCTCTTCTTCTTCTTCTTCTTTTATCCAAGCATCATTTATTCTTGATTAGGAGATCATTAAAGGGGAAAAGCATCCAAGTTTTATGTTCTCTTAGCTGGTGGTACCATAGTTTCCTCAGTTTTCCAGAGCACCCCTAATAAGAGGGGCTGTGTTTACAGAGTGAAGGGGTGTCTGCTGGACACTTATTAGTTGTTGACATTACCCAAAGTCCAGGAGGTCAAGATGCAGTAGGGGGACTGGTAGTGTAGTTCAATGGTAGAGATCATGTTTATTGTGAGTGTGGCCCTGGGTTCATCCCCAGCACCAAATAAACAAATAAATAATGAGATAGGGAAGGGAAATTATTAAAGTTCAGGCCACAGAGTTAGCTCCAGGGCTAGCTGGCAGAGGCTTGTCCCCTGTTTTCCCAAATTATCAAAGATGTATGATGCTTCTTGGCAGAGGTGAAGGATGCTCTTCAGAAAGAAAGGAGGAATTTCTTCAGAAAGATATCTGGGTCCTCTGGCTGAGAGGGGTTAGATCCTCAAGAAATCTTGGGGTGCTTCCTAGCAACAGTCTGGGAGGAAGGGAGGGAGAGAAGCTAAAGAGAGAGGGAGGGGCCTGGGCATGGCTGCTCCTACTAGAGCCCAGAGAACAGTCTGTTCCTGCTGCCTCCTTGGCAACCAAAATCTAAGCTGGAGTGGAAAGGAGGGGGACCGTCAGATTTATCCCCCTTGGAGGGTCCCTAACCATTCACATTCATACCCCACCCTCTGGCTCTCCCCATAGGAGCTGGGTGTGCCGTGAAACAGAGTATCAGGGATGGGAGGGGATGGTCTAGGTGAAGGGTTTCATAGCAAGAAGGGAACAGGAGCTGGGGATGAACTGAATCTGAATCTGAGAAGAGCTAGAAGCTTCAGGAAACAGGTGGGCAGGGTGACCGGGTGAGAAGAGGAGGATGCAACACAGGGACAGGGGCTATAAGCCCAGACTTGGGTTGGATCTGGGCGTCTGGTGAGATACCTGCTCTGGAGGCAGTGTGCCCTTCATTTTGCCCTTGCCCAGGTCTGTTACCAGACCCTATTGGGAAATCAGGAAAAAGGGAGAGGTCAGGAGAAGATGGGAAGGGTTCAGGTTACCCCACTCTGTCCCTAGCAGGGGCTGGAGGGAGGTAGATCTTGAGGCATTTCATTTTTTTAGCCCTGGCTTTAGTATTTCTTTGGGGAGGAGGGCATCTAGGATTTCAGAAAGTCTCCCCCGCCCAGTATTTTTAGGACACTGCATCAAAGACAGATGTGGTGGAGAGAGAGAGAATAGAAGGGAAACAAAAACAATAGCACCTTCATCTTCCCCTTCTGGATTCCTCACCCCTGCCCTAATCCAGATGACTGCTGGGCCTCTCTGTTGCCTCCTATTTTTACCTGGTCAAGGCAAAATATAAATGTGTATCTCATGCACCCAGGTTGTCTCCCAACTCCCAGGGCAGCCTGGACCTGAGAAACTATTTTCATGCAGGATAGAGCATGCACGCTGCAGCCTTGCTCCCCAGGGTTTCAGTCAAACCTGATCACTGATGAGGTGGCATCAATTGGCAGGCAGCCACCCTCGAAGCACCTACACTGCACACTGCACTGACTTCTCACTGCAGCCTTCAGCCCCACACTGCAGCTGTTGAATGTGTTCGCTCTGAGTCCAGACTGAACACAGGTGCCCTTACTGCGTGCTGATTCTGCACACTGCAACCTCAATTCCCCACTGCAGCTTCCACTGCACACCGCAGGTGCCCTTCACCTATTGCATTGCCCTCATCACCACCAATTAACTGCACACCCCATGGGTGTGTCAGCCCAGCTGCCCTTCTCATCCTCATGGTCTCAGGGGCTCCAAGAAAGGAATCCTCCCCTCTGTTTTGTATTGCAAACCCTAACACTCTCTGTAAGAGAAGTGGTTCCATCAGAGAATGGAGATGGCTAAGACTAAGATGGGCAAAGGGAGCCGAACTTGGATAGGCTGTTGGTCAGAACCTCAACTCAGCAAGAGATTCTGCCCAGTATAAACTGGGCGATGAGCAGAGCAGTCCGCACTCCCCCCACCTCATACACACACACACACACACACACACACTCTCTCTCTCTCTCTCTCTCTCTCTCTCTCTCTCCTCCCCAAGAACAGCCTGTGAAGGCAGTGCCCCGCCCTGGGAACCGTGGGAAGCTTGTGGCCCCCGCTGGTAAAACTGGGCTAATGACAGCGGGGGAACCGGCGGGGCCAGAGGGGGGGGTGCTAGAATAATTAGACCTCTGCCTGGCGCTAAGAGGTCCTGAGATGAAAGGGGCTTTGGCGTCACTGGCATGGTTTTATGTCCATGAATGCAGGTGTGTGTGTGTGTGTGTGTGCGCGCGCGCGCGCGCGCGCACTCGCTCGCTCGCTTGTGTCTGTGTGTTGTGTGTGTGTGTGTGTGTGTGTGTCTGTAGGGAGGTGGGGCTGCAGTGGAGACCTCTTCTTCCGGGAAGGGGATCTATGTGTACGCAGCCCTCCCTCCTCCTTAGGTTGGCCCTGGTACCATTTGGATTTTGTTGGGGCAAACATGGGAGGAAATACCACGTCAGTAAAGCTGGGAGATGAGGGATTATGGCAAGTCTTGACCCCTTAGAAGCTCAGCCCGGGGAGCAGATTGTTAGGGAAATGGCAGGTGGCCTTGAATACAAAGAGCCCCTACTGAGAAGGGTGTAGTTTGAAAGGGGAGGCAGTGGATGAGTATTAATGTTAGAAATGAGGGAAGGTGGTTAAGAAGAAGGATTCCCCCGAAGGATTAAAAACATAGTTAAGAGGACCCCAGGATTCACCTGCTCAATCCTCTCATTTTTAACTGGAGGTAACTCTACCCCCGCAGCAGTGGTGATTTGTTCAAGGTCATACAAGTGAGTGACTGGTAGATAAGGGACCCGAACTCCGAAACATACTCTACACCTCTAAGCGTTTTATATTTGGCCTTCTTTCCCAATTTATTAGGTGGAAGTAGCTCTTCAATACTTCCTCCCCCACCCCAAGATGCAAACCCTCAAACCCCCAATTCCCTCAAAAAGCAAAGGCTGTTTTTTAAATGACATCTTTTCCAAATCATGTCACCAAGTACCACTCCTGCCGGAGCCGTCGAAGTGGGAAGGCGAGTCCGAGCCCGGCAGGGGCCCGGGCGGCCGGGGGGCGGGCAGCCGAGCCGCGGGCCAGGGTCCCGGGGCGCGGCGGGGGGCGGGGGGCGGGGGCCGGCGGCTGCAAGGCGGCCTGCAGGGAGCAGCCGCGAGCCGGCCTGGCGCGCAGATCCAGAGCCTGAGCCCCAGCCCGAGCGGGGCGGAGGAGGGAGGAGCCAGAGCGGCCGCCGCCTCTGCCGGAGGAGCCGCGGGGCCGCCACACTCGCCCCCCGCCCCCCCGCGCTCACTCGCTCTCACACCCGGGCGCTGGAGGCGGGCGGCCCGGGCCCCACCGGCCCCCCATGGACGCCCCCGGTACGGGGCGCTGAGACCCCAGCGTTGTTGCCCAGCCCGGTCCAGCGCGCCACGCCGAGGTAAGGAGGAGGGAGCGAGGGGGCATTAATATGCAAATGTCTCGCGATTGATTATGCAAAGCCGCGGGTCTCTGTGGGCAGCTTGCAGGCGGGCTGGGGGCGCCCAGGGGGTACCCGCTGCCAGCTTCAGCCTTTCCAGGCGCCCCGGTGACCCTGTCACAGCCTGGGAGCTTGCAACTTACGCCCTGGGGAAGGGAGGTGCTGCTGGGAGGTCGGTGGGCCCCGGGGTTCGCCGAAGGAGATGGCGTCTGGGCCTCCCCCTCGAGGGCCCGCCCGGCCTCTGTCCGGCCGGTCTGCTGCGCATTCCCAGGCCGGGCCCCGCTGCCGGAGCTCCCCCGCCCGCCGCGCCGCGGTTTGTTTACGGTGCGCCGGAGGACTGCCCCCACCAGCCCCCACCCCTAGCCTCGGAGGCCGAGTGGCCTTTGCAAAAGCTGCCTCCAGCTGCGGAGGGCAGTGTGAGTGAGGTGGTGGTGGTGGTGGGGAGGTTTGCGTGGATCGGAGGAGAGGGAAGTCCCCCTCCCCTCACCCGCCTCCCCAATTGAGCATGGCTTTCTGGTTGCAACATTACTAATTGCAAAAAAAACGAGGCTGGTGGGGTGGGGTGGGGGGAGCGTGTGCATGTAGTGGTGAGGATGTGCTTGATGGTCCCTAGATGTCTTAGGAGAGTTGCTGGCTGGCATGGCTGGGGCAGAGAGGAAGGAATAGAGCTGTGTTGTGTGCCCCCTCCTTGTTTCCCTCCCTTTGCAACGTGTCTCTGGTGCCCCTTCTCTGTCTAGGGCCCTCCCTTGTCCAATGTGAAAGGAAGGCCTGGAGGGATGACAAGCAATGGAAAGAGCCATCAATTCCAGGGATTGGAGGGGTGGGCACATAGAAGGAAAGCCAGTAAAATGGGAACCTGCCTCTCAATACTGGCTCCAGCCCCAGAAGTGGGGGAATAAAGGGGGTTGCAAGATGAAAAGGGGAGCAAAGGTGGCATGCAGACACAGATATGTCCACACAGACAACTACCCAGGGACACCCAGGCAGACTCAAGGACAGGAGCTGCTGGACACACCCACATGGGGACAAGGGAAGAGGCTGCCTGCTGATGCACTGTGGAGCTCAGGGTGGGACACACCCACGGGAGACCAAGAGCAGGGAGACCAATCCATGCATGTACCCACGCACAGGGTCACACAGAGATGCTGTCACACACAGGGGCAAGGAGGAGTCACTGTCACCCACACAGAAAAAGTCACTATCGCATGCATGCATGCACACAGAGCATTTGCACACAGCCCGCACAATTACAAAAGACCCTGTCACTCACAAGCACACACGTGCTCACATGTGCCCAGTCACCAAGTCATCATCGCCTGCCGTGGCAGTTGTTGTCACTCAAACACAAATGCAGCTACACATCAGTACCTGTGTACACAACTTAGCAACAAGTATTTTCTGGACTCTTACTGTGGAACACAGAGGTTCTATAGAAAGAAAAAAAAAAAAGAAACAACCATAAAATTTGAATGAAAAGACTTTCCTGCATAATGGTGCAAAGATTACATTCTCAATAACACATTCCAGTCACTATTGCTTGTCATACCACTGTTACTAGATGGCAAGCTCCTTGAGACCTGAAAGAATCATTGGAAAAGTTCTGGATCCCTCTCAGAACCTAGCCCAGGTTGTACTCTGTAAACACTTGTTAATTGATTGACTGTGGGAACTCCAGACACAGGTGCATTTATTTGCGCACAGTCGCACGGACTCAGGTGCAGGACGCATGCACAAGGCTCCAGTCCACACAGTCACAGGTTCACACCAGCAGTGTTCAGACAGCCCCGGGTGCACACATTGCAACAGGGCTGCCTGGCATACACCTAGATGCACAGGATTATAGACTTTTTCCTTCACCTTCTTTCTGTCTGCTTCCTTTAGACTCAGCACTGTTGGCAATGGGCTTTTTTTTTTTTT